GTAGCTTGTTTTTGAGAAAAATTTTTATTATAATTTTTTTTTTATCGAGTCGTAAGAATTAATTTTTCCTGACGAATGACAAAAAAAGTCCTTCATATTTGACAATTAGGGTTTCCCAAGCGCGCGCACGTCAATAATAATGAAAATAAGCGTGATACGGAAAAAAGCAAAAAATGTCGCTCGGTCTGGTTTCGGCGTGTGTGGCAACGAGGAAGGAAGGAAAGGGGTGAGCCTTGGGGTGCCTCTTGGTGCCAGTGCGGCGGGAGAGCAACAGTTTTTCTGCTGCAATCGCGTGACCTTTGCCAGGGCGCCAAAGTTGCACCGCGACACTGCTCTGCGGCAAACAAAGTGAAAGTGACATCTGGGTCGCGCGGAGACGCGCTGGAAAATATTTAGAAAATAGAGACGCACTGCAATGGCCTCCGAAGACACTCGCGGGCTTCGCCAAATCGCTCCCGACTCGCCCGCTGCGCGAACCCTTTGCCGCGAGCCATAACACGGTTATGGGCCATGTAATTCAGGTAACAGATAGATAATGTGCAAATGCTCACGGCTCATTGTCAACACACTCCAGTGACTAGTGCAAATAAATAATACGCAGCCCTTCCTTAAAAAAAAAAACAAATTAAAACTCTATTTTAGAAAAAAACGGTGATTTTTAGAGGAATTTTCAGTAGATTTATTGTTTTAAACTTCAGAGATGCAAGACCATTTTTTGTTTGGAATCGGTAGAAAAAATATGCTAAATTGATAAGAATAAAGCTGCAAAATTTAATACATCTTTTTTCTGTAATTATGTTATTATTATTTATCTATGTCGTCCTTTTGGAGATGTGATTCGCATTTTTTTGCCGTTTCAAGGTTGGAAATAAAAACACATTTTTGTTAAGCCATTAGTTAATTATGCCAATTTCATCTTAAATATGTAGATTGTAGTTTTTTTTTAAAACTGCAGATATATAAAATATTTTTAACAACAATAAGTAAGCTTAGGGATAATATAAATAAATTTTCTTTAACGAAAAAGACGCCTATTTTATTTAAGTGATTTTTTTTCAGTTGAAAGGGTTGATTATAGGTGATAAAAAGAGGATTAATATTACTTAAGTCAACATTTTGTTTTTTTAAGGATGTGTATTAAAAAGTTTAATTGTTTTTGTAGAAATTTGCTTCTTCAACTGAAGGGGAAAGACTAGAAATAGGTGGATATAGAAGTTTTTTTTATCAAATATAGGTAGATAGACTAAATTTTTTTATTTCCAAATTCTTTTTTTTTTTTGGAAACTGTACCACCAAAAGTGTCACAAAGATTATCAACTATTTTCCCAATCCTTTAACAATATTTGCATCAATTAACAAGCCACAATGCGCCAAATTGAACGGCATAAAATATTATGTATTTAAAATATTTTCAGTTATTATGGAATGGAATTGCTCTTTAATTGAAAATTTATTTAAATGAACGAGAAATGATTACATTTTGCTTATAAATGAGCCTGGATTATTAATATTGAGAGATATGCACATGCTATAAGTTTTAGCACCGGCAGTTCCCATAAGATAATTTTAGCACATGAATATCACCGCATTATTTGTTTTAAGTCTGGAAAGTTTAAGTTCATGATATGTAATAATTTTCAGATTTCTTTATTTCTTAAACAAACAAATTTAAAGTTCTTCATCAACATCTGCTTTTGAAAACTTTTGAAGGAATGGTGCAGAGCGGTGTGGAGTTGCCGGTGTATCAAGCAAATTAGCAAAAATCGATCAAATATGCGGGGTGGAATAGAGCGGCGGTAGATTACACAAGTTGCCTGGCTTATATGCCGCGGATAAAAAAGCACATTAGGCATGCACGTGGTGGAATTTAATGGAGCTGTAGCAGAATAGTGAGTTGCTTGCACCGCTAAAGGGTCGTTATCCGTTGCCCATGAAAGTGATCCGCATGCGAAACCTTGGATTGCCGCAGTCGAATAAAAAATGCACTGCGCTGGCTTTGTACGTATTTGTCCGATCCTTCTTCATCAAAACAATGCATACAGAATGTAAACAGAGAAATCGTAACACCAGGAACAATTCATACTGTGTGCAGAACAATTTTGATATTCATGAAAGAGAGACGATGAAAATTAATGGTGAGAAAAGCAATCAGAATATTCTAGGTTCTTTCGCACAAGAGAAGCAAAAATCTGCTAAATATTTAGCTTAAGCTCAGGCAAAATAGGTCATTTTTAGACTGAGCTAATGACAAGTATTTTTATGGAAAAAAAAATAAAAATTAAGAAATTAACTTAATACTTGAAGTAGGTGAGCGATAAGTTTTTGTTTATAATTTTTTACAGGTTGATAAAAAATCAGAAGAATATTTTTAAATAGACAATCTTGGATGATTCTAAAAAAAAGTGTATTCTTCTGCTTTCATTTTTGCACTATTTCAGTTAATTTCTAACAAATTGGATAAAAAGATAATCACTTAATTTTCCCATCCCTTTTCTAGGCACGAAAGAATATAAAATGGGTGAAAATTATTGGTCTTGATTGCTCAGTGTCAAAAAATTCAATAAAAGGCAAAATGCTTGAGCAGCGTCAACCAAACTCGTGACCGTAACAATGGATATTGTGTACGTTTACAAGCTTGGAGGAAAATTAACATTTCTAGTTTCTAGCATATTTTGATTAATACAAATATTAAAGTTTTCCCAATTTTTTCTCTCTCCAAATATTAATTATTTTTATTTTCTAAATTTATTCTTAATGAAATTATTAAGTGAAAATGGGCTCTAATTTCTATCGTTTTCATCTATGGGTGATCAAAAAGTCTAACCTGGCCAAGTCCAAGTAATCTCTTCAGTTAATTTGACTCGGCCTTTGACTTCAAAAAATATGCTCTGGCCCTCCGTAAGAATGAAGGCAATTGATAGAATTTTGAGCTAACTTGAAATTTGTCCTCCCATCAGTCATTTTTACATTGGCTATAATGTATTTTATAATATCATAAAATTTTCAAAGCTCTTTGACAAATAGTTTGTAAAAAAGAAAAAATGATCTGATGTATCTGTGAAATATAATATATCAAAACAACGGAAGCATGATCTTCTTATTTTTTTTACTTATTACAAAAAAAAACGATCATATTTTCCCCTACAATAGTGTCAATGTCAATCATGGATGGAACTTGAATCATTAAAGGACGAGGAATTTCAATGTTGGAATTTATATGATCATTAGCGTGTTCAAGCGTGTGCATAATGGATGGTATATAATTGATGCGCGACACCTTTGCGGTGAAGCGCAAATAACCCCTGGGAAGGCTATTAATAAGCCGACGAGTGGCTTCAGAAAAGCATAGAGACGTATTTATACGTTGCAAACACACGTACACGCGGTGCGACGGATGCAAAACTCAATCCGCGAACAGAAGCGAATTTTCCACTCCGGTGAGGCTGCAATGGAATATTATAACGAGTCGCAATTAGCAAAAGCGTGTTAGCGCCGGCTGGCCAGGCAAATTACTCCCTGCCGGACGAAAGGGAAACATTTATATACACCCTGTATCAAGATAATCTTATGCACATTGTGCACTTTGCGCGGCTAACGAGCTCGGCGCCGCGCTTTAATTAAAAATTTAGTCCCCGGACCGTGCGCATACTTTTTAGCCGAGCGATAAAAGCGCATGAATAAAGTACAAGTGCTGCCGGGAGAGGAAAGGATTTTTTGCACCTGAACCTCTCACCAGAAAGTTTTCTTAATTTTTGTCCGGGGAAAACAACGAGAGAGGACCACTAATCTAACTTTGTCAATTAGTCGAGTTAATTGGGACGTAAATTTTGTTTTGCACCACCTCGATCATCAATAATTTACGCTAAAGAAAATGGAAAAGGCCGTTTTTAGAACCGGTTTAAAAAATTCAACAATCATATGAAGTTAAAGTTTATCTTCTTCTTATAGGCTCAAGGTCTTAACTGAAATCACGTTTAATATTTTAAATATTCTTAATTGTAATAATCATTAAAATTGGCTAATATATTTGTGAATGCAAAAAAGATACACAGTTATAACTTATAAGGAATATTAAGAAATTTTCCTTTTTGGAACAGTTTTAATGTAGCATTGTGGGTACATTTTTGATAAACTCCCAGCACAAAACTAATTAAATTAATTATTGACACTAATTATAAATATCTTTATTAAGATACTTTTTTTTAAAGGAAATTAAGTGTTTAAACTAAAAAAAAAAAAAAAAACACCAATTTGTCAGTAGTAAAAAAAGAGCATATTTGTTATTAAAAAGTGATTTTTTTCCATCACTTTCTTACAAATTCCAATATATTTTGAGAAGAGCCTTTAATAAAGTCAATTTGGGCCATTGTTTCATTACTAAATTCTGAAGTCTGTCTACTATGGAAATTAATCAATTTGATTGATCTGGCGCTTGTTTAGTATTGAACTTTATTTGAAAATTGTGTATTAATTTCTAGTAGATTTATTTCAAACTCTCTAACTAAAATTTTTAAGCTTATTTTATTCAAATTTCTGTAAATTAAATTAATTGTTGTTGGTTTAATTTTTACCCTGAAAAATACTTGGTTTACTTAATTTACAAAATTCTAAAAAATTTCAATAAATTTTTGTTTTCATACTGTTCTTTAAACTTTTGTCAACTAAACCACATTAATTTTATACTAAAAAAAACTTGAGACCAAACTAGTTTATTTGATTTATTTATAGTTAGTAAATAAACAAATTTGGTTTCAAAGTCCATTTTTATTTTAATATTGTACAAATAATTTATTTATTTTAATAAGAACTTTATTTTTAAACTCGATACTCAAATTTTTTGTCCGCATTTTCCATAGCTAAATTCTGTTTCCCGTAAAATTTATGCACCCTTCTCTGGTAACATAAATTTCTCCGCGTTATCCAAACTCCACTTGGACGGCTTCGCGAGTGAATGCGTCCGCGAGGGAGGTGCGAAAGAAAAAAACTAATGCTGGACTCACTCAAGACTCCTGGGCGGTTTGAACGAGACGTCTATCCGGTACGTGGTGTCCGTGTGCAGTTTGACGGTTTTGGCCTGCTTGAAGCGTTGTCCGTCCATCTTGCAGTAGACGGGGCTGCCGTGCGGCTCCTTCTTCATGGACAGGGTCACCTTAAACGTGCCATGGCTCATGGCGAGACACCATCCTCTGGCGACCGCGCGCTCGACTGCCGCCGCCGATGCCATGCGTGTTGCCCGACCGCCGCGCTCTGCCTCACTCCCGAGCCACGCGGCGCCGCCCAGAGGCACCACCGCCGACGCCGCCGCCGCCCCACTATTATTTTATCTCGCGGCCTTTTTGGAAAAGCGAGCGGGGGTGCGCTCCAGAGCGCCACTCACTTGTCCTTAATTGCCGCTCCAATTTCCCCAATTTTGGTCCATTGTGAAATGACGTAAACGACTGGCGAGGAAGTCAATTTTTCCTTATATTATTAATATTTAGCTCAAAGTAGAGTAGAAGATGTCTCGAGAAAAATCATGCAAGGGGGCCATAATTATTTTAACAAATTAATATTGTTTTCCAAATTTCATTAAAAGTAACATAATTTAATCTTACTTTTTTAAATATAATAAAGCTTTTTTATTTCGGATTTTTTTTTTTAAATTTGTATTTATTGTCATTGTCTGGCGAATGAGAGTACGAGATTAACCTTTAAGGTTTTTACTGCATTATTTTAAATTTTACTTCCGTGAATCTACTGTATTCAAATAAAATAATTAAAAAAAATTACAAAATTTGCATTCGGTTATTAAAGTTATTTTCAGCTTTATTAAAATTGTAATTATATTTATTATTACCCTAAAATCGTTTATTTTAAAAATGAAATTAAAATAATGATAAATGCAGTTTATTGACTTCCAATAATATAGTAAATAATAAATTAAATTAATTTTTTTTTTTAGAGAAGGTCAATAAATTTATTACAAATTTTTGTATTAGCATTGGTTTTAGTCGCAAGAAATTAACTTGACGATCGTGCGGTCGTTGTGTTATTAAGATTGACAACCTGCATGTTCGCCAAAGGGTTATTCTACTCGCTCTGATCAAAAAGATTGATATTGCAGCCAACGCGCTTGTTGATCGCTGCCAATTGTGGCTTTATTGATGGGACAAGAGTTTTGTTGCTGCTGTGAATTTCATTAATAAATTTATTCAGACTCTGAAGAAATTTATTTCACCTCGTTAGTAAAATTGGCTTGAAAATAGAGAGAAGATCGCTATCTAACTGCAAAAGGACAACTTTCGTAATTTGAATAAAAATACAAATAGAAGTTGATCGATCGATCTTAAGTGGATCAGGTCTATAATTGCATAAAATAAATTTCTATTCCGAGGGCTGTCGAAATGTGAATAAAATTTAGAGCATATTCGATAAAAATAACTTTTGGAGAGGGAAAGTTTTTGAATAACTTTTCCACAAAAAATTCACTGAAGTAAATTCAATTAAGTAAAATAAATATGTGATAAAAAGCTACAATATTTTCATTGCGATTTTAACATAAAATATGAATTTGGACTGTTTTTTAAATGAATCCTTTTTTTGTTTGGGCTTTTCACTGAATTTGAATAGTGAAAAAAGATTAAGTTTCTAAAATTTACTTTACTTTCAATACAAATGAGGTGTATAGAGAAAGTTTTGTTGGCAACTAACATTAGGAATCAAACGTGTGGCGAAATCAACATTCTTTTCATACACGCACATTTATTAATTTTTTTTGTTCTGAAAACTGGTTTTGGCGAGGGGGCGTTTATGCGATGACACAACAGAGGTGAATGAATCGGACTGGCAGAGGCCATTCAGGCGATTCACTTTTTATTCCACGCTAAATTTATTTACACTCTCTCCGATACGTGTTCGGACCCACGTGACGGAGATCAAATAAAAATAAATTTGCACACCGATGGCGCCTGATTAAAATTTAAAAATTGGGCCATTTGTCTTTTTCACAATACTCTGCTATTCCATTCGGATTCTTTTTTGCCGTGCCTTGCTGCTGGTGGGCGAATATAAAATATACGCACGCTCGTAATTGATCGCGCAACAACTTTTGCAACGCAGAACTTTGCTGAAATATGACCGTCAAGGCGCAGCAGCGCGCTGCAAACAAAACAATAATTATCAAGTGAAAGAAAATCCCCCCGAAATAGAAACGAGACGCAGCCAGCAGAAAATTACGCAGAATTTTTCCTTGCCAATAATACGTCATTTTCTTTAATATCCTTGAAAAGTATCTAATTTCTTATTGCCTTAATCTTTTAAAAGGAAAATTAAAGTCAAGTTCAGTGGTTGTAGATATTAAATCTCATGGCTTTGATGCAGATTATTATTATTTTTTCTTTTCTTTGGAATTAACTTTTACAATAATGAATGGGAAATAAAAATGTTGAGATGTTTTTCTCATGACTCATGACTGTATCGAATGGATAATAAATAAATAAATTCTCATTTCCTACAAAATTTTGTTTATCAAGTTTTTCAATTATTGTACGATGGTTCCTCACTGTTTAAAAAAAAATGTTCATTGAAAGAAAAACAAATTATAGGATGGCAACATTGAATTGTTGAACAAGAAATGTGTGAATGCAAAATTCTTTAGCTTTAAAATTTATTAATTTGTATCATACAAAAACAAGATTAAAAACCATAAAAGAATGATTATTTTTTTGCAGGGCTTATTGCTAAAGAAAGAAGAGACAGATAAGCCTTGTCGCTGCGGCGGTCTATTTATATCTGCAGTGGGAACTTGTTTGTAAATCACGCGAATTTGCACACAATGTGCTCAACTTACTCCAAAGAGGTCTTGCGGAGATTACATTGTATGGCACTACTTCATTTTCTACAGTTGCGAAATTCGCTTATTCCCTTCAGCGTTTTTTTTTTTACCTCAATTCTGTGTAAATCGTGTGTTCATGATATAAAAGATGAGACTTTCTTTCTCGCCGTGTGACAGTGAATGCGAATCAATTCAATGCATTTTACGAGAGTCATGTGTTGGCTCGATTGCCGCTTTCAGGAGCGTAAGAGTGAGTTTTTAATTCACGTAACACACAAAATAATAAGTTAAGCATAAGGGCTTATAGTGTAGATTGGTATTGAAAAATGAGGATAAAATATGTGAGATGAATACGGCAATGAGCTATTCACACGTTAATTTTGTTTATTATGTATAAAATAAAGTAAATAAGTACAATTTCATTTATTTAAAATTATATTAAGATAAACATTGGATTAATCACGGAATTATGAATTTATTATTAATTCAAAATTATTAATCCTGTTTTATATAATTTTTCAGTTAAAACACATTTGTAAAACATATTACATAATATTTCCTCCCACAACAATCAAAATTAAAAATTTTACTATGTCCACACAAGAAGAAAAGGTATGGACCTTTGCGATCAAAATACACACAGACCAAATACGTATTGCGGGTTATGGTAGTCAGGAATCATCTCAGGAAATGCTGAGAAAGGCACTGGATCAATTTAGCTGATTTTTATATATTGACTTGGTACAAAATCGAAAACAAAAATTTTAAGATGACCACACAAGAAGAAAAGGTATGGCCCTTTGCGATCAAAATACACACAGACCAAATACGTATTGCGGGTTATGGTAGTCAGGAATCATCTCAGGAAATGCTGAGAAAGGCACTGGATCAATTTAGCTGATTTTTATATATTGACTTGGTACAAAATCGAAAACAAAAATTTTAAGATGACCACACAAGAAGAAAAGGTATGGACCTTTGCGATCAAAATACACACAGACCAAATACGTATTGCGGGTTATGGTAGTCAGGAATCATCTCAGGAAATGCTGAGAAAGGCACTGGATCAATTTAGCTGATTTTTATATATTGACTTGGTACAAAATCGAAAACAAAAATTTTAAGATGACCACTCAAGAAGAAAAGGTATGGACCTTTGCGATCAAAATACACACAGACCAAATACGTATTGCGGGTTATGGTAGTCAGGAATCATCTCAGGAAATGCTGAGAAAGGCACTGAATCAATTTAGCTGATTTTTATATATTGACTTGGTACAAAATCGAAAACAAAAATTTTAAGATGACCACACAAGAAGAAAAGGTATGGACCTTTGCGATCAAAATACACACAGACCAAATACGTATTGCGGGTTATGGTAGTCAGGAATCATCTCAGGAAATGCTGAGAAAGGCACTGAATCAATTTAGCTGATTTTTATATATTGACTTGGTACAAAATCGAAAACAAAAATTTTAAGATGACCACACAAGAAGAAAAGGTATGGACCTTTGCGATCAAAATACACACAGACCAAATACGTATTGCGGGTTATGGTAGTCAGGAATCATCTCAGGAAATGCTGAGAAAGGCACTGGATCAATTTAGCTGATTTTGATATATTGACTTGGCACAAACTCGAAAACAAAAATTTTAAGATGACCACACAAGAAGAAAAGGTATAGACCTTTGCGATCAAAATACACACAGACCAAATACGTATTGCGGGTAATGGTAGTCAGGAATCATCTCAGGAAATGCTGAGAAAGGCACTGGATCAATTTAGCTGATTTTTATATATTGACTTGGTACAAAATCGAAAACAAAAATTTTAAGATGACCACACAAGAAGAAAAGGTATGGACCTTTGCGATCAAAATACACACAGACCAAATACGTATTGCGGGTTATGGTAGTCAGGAATCATTTCAGGAAATGCTGAGAAAGGCACTGGATCAATTTAGCTGATTTTGATATATTGACTTGGCACAAACTCGAAAACAAAAATTTTAAGATGACCACACAAGAAGAAAAGGTATGGACCTTTGCGATCAAAATACACACAGACCAAATACGTATTGCGGGTTATGGTAGTCAGGAATCATCTCAGGAAATGCTGAGAAAGGCACTGGATCAATTTAGCTGATTTTGATATATTGACTTGGCACAAACTCGAAAACAAAAATTTTACAATGACCTCACAAGAAGAAAAGGTGGGGACCTTTGCGATCAAAATACACACAGACCAAATACGCATTGCAGGTTATGGTAGTCAAGAATCATCTCAGGAGATGCTGAGAAAGGCACTGGATCAATATAGCCGCAATATATATTGACTTAGCGCAAACTCAAAATTAAAAATTTGTGTTCAACTTTATTTCAAAAATTCAAGTTTGCAAACCGTTAACTTAAAATTAATTAAAACATAGT